AATTTGCATAATCAGAATTCCTTGCAGGTGTTTTTTTTTTTTTTTTTTTTAGTTTTGTGCATTTTCCTCTATGTTAATTTTTTACTCAAATTTTATTTAAATTAATTGTTATTTTTCAATCTTAGCCTTTTAGAAGAGATAAATACTTTCTTCTTAATTTAACTATAGAGTTATCACTTAATTTTAATTATTCTACCTATCATCAAAATTTTCTTATTTATCTTTATCTTTATCTTTAATAGAGAGGTAAATAAATACATAAATTATTTAAAAATTCTTAATTTGTAAAATAATTAAAAAAATGTATTAGTTATTGTATTTTAGGCATGAGGGAGTAGTAGTTTAAAATTATATACTACCTTATTTTAACTTTAGTTATTTTAGGTTTACTTCTTGACTTTTTAGATGTAAAATTTAAATAAAAATCTAACATATTATTCACTCTATTCAATTTTAATAGGCCTATTTTTTTGTCTTATAAAATAATATAATAACTAATTAATAATATTTCATATTTTTCCTAATTAATCACTTGTTTTTGTACATCTGACTATGAGTTATACAAAAAATGATAACTTTCCCTTATTCTCAAATCTCTTCTCACCCGACTCAAAATTCGAATTTAAGATTTCCAACTTGGAGTTCCAAGCTCTTAACATTTCAATCACCTCATTCGGATTATTAATCACTACTTAAATAAGCATTCTTATTTAATACTCACTCGGTTTATTTTTTGTAGATCTAATTTTTTTTGTCAAATAAAATAGAGATTTAATAATTTATTGATAAAATTTCATATTTATCCCTAATTAAATATACCATTTAAATAAAATTTCTTACTTAATTATCTTTTAAAATGAGGATAAAATAAAAATAAATACATTAAATGGCATCATAGAAAAGGAAAAATGAACAACTAAATTTGGATTTCCTAAATAGCAAACTAAGTTTACTAAAGTTGAAAGGAGAGAATATATGTTACAATTATCTTTTTAAAATAAAGATAAATATAAATAAACATATTAAATGATATTTAAAAATAAAAAATAGACAACTAAATATAAATACTTCAAATTAAATATTCATATTAATTAAGTCTATTAAATTTAAATAGAGGGAATATTTAAATGACAACTAAAAATATTTTTTTTTGATAAAATAAAATCACTCAATAAGAATTATATATACAAAAAAATTTTCAATTAAAATAAACTCTTAAAGTTTTATATAAAATTTATGTCAAAAAAAAAAAAAACAAAACTACTTAAGTTAAGTAAAAAAAAAAATAAGTGTTGTTTAATCTACTTTAAATAAAAGCCTCTCAAAAAAAAAAAACAGTCTACTTTAAAAAAAAAGCACCATACTACAAATATTTTTATACTTCGTTTTTCCACAAGTGGACCCACAAGTCTGCTCTCCATTAAAATTATTGAACTGATCAAAAAACTATTTTCCCTTTCACCAAAAAAAAAAAAAAAAACTATTTTCCCCAGTGCATATTCCAAAAACCATATGAAGGATAACAAGAAAAAGACTAATTGTACCATCAAGGCTTTGATTTTACCAGCATGTGCTTGGTATCAGTGCCACTAACATTCTTAAAGAAAATTTGTTATTTTATAATAAAAATTTCGAATCTATGTCATAAAAAATATATTAAAAATACATTAATTTTATTTTTTTTAATAATTTATA